AGAGGAGGAATGGGGATGGAATGGGGTGGGACAAGATTACAAGGGTAAGCTTAATTTTTGAATTTGACTAACTGTGGAGAGGAGGAATGGGGATGTAATGGGGTGGGACGAGATTACAAGGGTAAGTTTAATTTTTGAATTTGACTAATTGTGGAGAGGTGGGGTGGGGTGGGACGAGATTAAAAGGGTAAGGTGAGTTTGATTCTTGACTTTCCACTTATAGTATGTGTGGGTTCAAGGAAACTTGAGGAGAGAGGAGATAACATGTTTTTAATTAATTAATTTTAATATTTTTAAATATTATAATTTAATTGATGAAAAAATCTTCCACTTGAACTAAACATAATTTAAAAACCAAACTACATTGAATAAATTGGTTATATACCACATGCTCATGATATGGTAGGGGTGAAATGTCAATCCATCCATTAGGAAAATAGGCGGTGCTATAAAAATAACTTTTTTATATTATATTTTGATACAATTTTTATATATTATTAAAGGAGTAGATGTATTCAATATTATATGATATATATAAATAAAAAAGAACCAATAATATAAATAACATATTAAATTATAAAAAAAATTGAAACAAAAAAATTATTTCAAAATCACTTTTCTTAGACAAATAGGACATGCATCTTACTGTTTGTATTAGAAGTTCAAGGCACTATATAAGTTGGGAAAATGGCGATTTAGCCCCTTACGATATGAGATAAATACAAATAAAATTTTAAAATTTTAAAATATGCACTTAACATATATATAATTTTTAAAAAATTTATTAATTCTTGAAATGTTGGTAGAATTTGTTGGTTGCCAAGTTTTTCTTTCATCTATGAATGGCTGAGTTACTACCAATGAGTAGATGAGTTGGCAATAGATTCTTTCAGTTTAATCAGATATTTTGGTTTCAAATCATAGAAATACAGTTTCGTTAAAACTCGTGAAAGAGTACTTTGCCGCTTATTGGGTATTGTCCGGCTCGAATTCGAATTAATCAGTAACCGAGTGAACTTTCGAATATCGAGTGGTTAAAAAAAAAAAAAAGAATTGCTGAGTTTTTTTTTATTTTTTTTTGTACTTTTAAAAAATTATTCTGCAATCCGAACTGAAATACAGCAAATCTTTGAAAATTCCCATTTTCTATTCACAATTTTTTTTTTTTTAAAGCAGATCATTTGTGAATTTTCTTGCTATTTTTGGGCCTACAAGATTGGCAGTCCGATCCAAAAAGAAGCCCAGAGTCAAATTGTTTAATGCTTTAGTTCATACCCAGACCATAACAAGATCCTCTTGAGTCTCGAGTCTGTCCAAGTCCAACTGCAGAATCACAGAATTATTAATATGCCCGGCCCACCAACCACGACCTGGTGGCCACAATGTAGTTTCACTTCCTGCGTTGATTTCAACTTTTTTTTTTTTTAATTTATATTAAGGTTTCCTAACTTGTGTCCCAATGTATTTATTAAATTTTTTAATATTAATTTGTATAAAAATTTACATAAATAAATTTTAATTTTATTCGATAATCTTTTTTAATATTAAAATTAATAAATTTAGAATTATTTTTTATTAATAATAAAAAATATAAAAAATACAATTTTTAAATTTTGTGTTAGTTCTTTTATATTATATTATTAATATCTTTCCTTCGTTTATAAGTTGCCTTGGCGTTCAAGAAAATGTTCTTTCTATTTCCACTATCCGAGTCATTTTCACGCCAGGTGTTCTAAATCAACTGCCCCCCACCTTCACCTAAGTGCGTAGACAAAGTTCGAGAAAAGGGGGCAGAAGGTGCAAATTGCATATAAAAATTTTCGACTTCAAGCAAACTAACAATGAGGCCAAAAAAAA